TGGTCAGCTATGTTATTGTAATCTAACTCGTATTGATGTTGACTTTTATCTGTCTGCATACGTGTTTGTCCGCTGCCTTCTCTAAAACGCTTATTTGCCACTCTTGGTTGTTAAGGGGGTTAATAATAATTTCGGGTGTCATTCTGTTGGTCAGTCTTTAAGTCTGTTTTGAATTTTTTATATAAATTTGATTTGTTTTGATCGAATTGTTGTTGTCTAGAAGGAAAAGTTTATTTATAAAAGGTCAGATTCTTTATATTTGGTCCTTGGATCTGCGTGGGATTTATGAATGGATTAAAGGGGATAAGGAATTGTGAATTAGGGTGGAAGTTTTTGTTTTTATTTATATTAGTATTGGTGTTATTTGGGTTAGTGCGTTTGTATTAAGCTTTTAAAAATAATCTGATTTTTTAGAGATTAGGTCCTTCATAAAGACCTTCTTGTTGGGTGATTTGTCGTAATTTTTAAATAATTAAAATGTCATGCCTTGCTAGAGTCACGCACAACCTATCAGGGAGTGAGCATTGAATAGTATTTTTTATTTTGTTTGCCACTGCTTGTGGCAACCTATTAATAACCTATTAATAATAATATAATAATAATAATAATTGACTTACCTTCTAATTATTCACAAAGTTTGCGTAAATAACCTTTGTAGGTGGTTTGAGTTTTGAACTCGACGATGAGACCATCTCTTAAAGTTGACCACTCGTTGTGAAACCCTCTTTGTTGGGTATAAGTTGAGCAGGTATTCAATTCGTCTGATAAACGAACTTGCTTGGATCCCCAGTGATCTGCGGCACTTGGCGTATTTGTCGAGGGAGTTGGGTTAGATTATCAACTGATAATGCCACTTTAGCTTTATTTGTTTATAAAAAGTTCTTTGATATGTAGCGGTCACACTTGTTTTTGTTCAAGCGGGCTACTGACAGACTGCTACAGTATGTCGAGATTTATGTGAACTACAGTGTACCTTAGTATATTATATTATACCTTAGTCGCGGGCGCCTTAATAAGGTATTTTAATATAATAAGGACACACAGGTTTTTGGCGAATACCCATTGAGCCACTTTAACTGGATAAACTACCGATTTTCTTTCTTGCGGGAAATTCACATGCACAATCTAAAGGATAATTTCCTCCTACAAATTACCTTTTCACTTGGTTGTCAAAGGACTACGGATTTACTGAAACTTTTTAGTCGGTATCCTACCGGCTGCGCCAATGAAGTATTTACGTGTTCATTTATATATTATAAAAAATATTGTTATATAATTATATTTTTGATAGATTTTGTTTGGAGTAACAACAGAGTACCTTAATAACTGATTATGAACATTTTTCTCATGTTCTAACAAACCTTAAAGATCTACGCAGTTTTACATGTTTGCTATAGATAACTTAAACTTTTTATCATATAATGGTTTGTGTCCTGGGAGACTTTATACTATGAGGCTTTTGAAGAATGAAGCTTTTCAAAAGATCGGTTAAAGTTTTTCATATTCTTGATCAGGATCATTAGCCGAGTCGGTCTCTGGAACTAAAATAGCCAAAAGGCTGAGATTAAGCATAAAGACACGAAACCTGCCAAATATATCGCGCCTACGCCCAAATGTTGAGAGTTTATTTAGTTTTATTATTATTCTTTCCAATTTCTATCGATACGCCAGAAAACTGTCCAAATTTATTGCTGGCACCCCCACTATCTGATAGTCGGGGAATTTGACTATAGCGTTCCGCTTTTTTTTTGAAATAACAATAATCTACATTTTTATACCCGCTACTAAAAAAAGGGTATACTATATTCGTTGAAAAGTATGTAACAGGCAGAACCTGTTAATTCCGATTAAATAGTCGGGGAACTCGACTTGTTCATTTTTCATGAAATATATAATTTAACATAAAGATGGTCGGACGCGGCTTGTCTCTTGTTTTCTTCCTCTTTCGGCGCCAAATCATTGCTATTTCTTAATATGTATTTTTAAATTCAGTGCATGTTTGCATGTCATCTCAAAATCTCAAATATAATTTTTTTTATATAATATATAAAAAGATTTTTTGGGTTGCCATTGTTTAAGATAAAAATGCAAAGTAAAAATAGCTTTATTTAAAACAATGAAATGTATTAAGAGTACGTGTATATTTTGTCTCTGTTTTTTTTTTTATTTGTGTTTTGACTTTAATACACAAAATAAAATCCAATCCTTTCATGTAGCCGTATTTGTTCTGTTGTTATTGCGGCTATACTGGGCGGCTACAGTTGTTAGTGGTTTTGTACTTGCGCCACGCAACAATCATAGTTCAGCACCATATTTTTTTTTTTGCATAACTTTTCTTTCAACTTAATAAATATATGAACTAGATTACAGCAAAGCAAAAAGATTTTTTGATTGTTGCAGTAGAGTATTGGGAGAGTAGCTTGGAAAACTTTATTAAGGTTTAGTTTTATCATATATTTCCTATTATAATTGTAACACAATTTTTGATCAAACTGACCCGGGCTAAGTAATAAATTAAATATTTTCAAATAGATGATTTTCAATTTTTACCCGTTAATGGTATTTCTCGTAAATATTTTTTTTTTCTTTAATATTTGATCCATTTTCAAGTGACAAAAATTTCGATACTAAAACAAATAAAAAACAAGAAATCATTGTATATATAGTATCTCAACGATCAGAAACGCGTTACTAACCTAAGGGGAAAACGAGTTATGGTGTGATTCGTTAGATGGGACACTCTTTTTCGATACACCGATGGAATTAATTGGTTTTGATCCTGGTCAAGAAAATATATATACTTTATAGGTCGGTAACGCTTAATTTTACCTGTTATCAAGTATCATCACCTATACCCATTTACTCTAAGTAAATGCTTAAGTTGAGTTGCTCCATAAGTTGATAAGTAACCTCAGCTTTTGGGAGTATGAAAAAAAAATTTTTTACTCAGTTATTCTGAATAAGGACTTGGTCTGAGGAAGAGTCATCCGGCACCAAGTTGCTATCGAAAGCTCACCATATTTGAGTCGTGGGATAGATCAGCCTTAGAAAGATAAGCCTCTTACCTCCTTGCTGAAAAATAATTAATTCTCGTACCGTTCGTCAGTCGTCACTGTGGGGGCGTACTTAGCATTCGCTTGATCGTAACGCCTTACGATCCGTGTACCAAATGGATCGGTGTGGGCCGCTGCCTTTTGCCAAGTTTTCCCTCCAGGAACCTAACCATTGCCACATACGCTGACGACTTCGCCTGCCTTGCTACCGCCTCTGACCCAGAAGAAGCCACAGCCATCATCCAAAGTCAACTGGATGCAATAGACCCTTGGTTGCAACGCTGGAACATCGCAGTGAACGCGAAAAAATCCTCGCAATCTACTTTCGCTCTGCGCAGAGGAGAATGCCCTCCAGTCTCTCCCTACCATCCCTAATTTACCCACACCCAAGTACCTAGAACTGACCTTGGATCGCAGGCTCACTTGGCGTTTCCACCTCACTGCTAAGCGCAACCTTGCTGATTTGGGCCTGAGACAACTACTCTGACTTCTCTTAAGAAACTAAAAGCTTAAATAAAACACAAAACTCCTGGTATACAAGGCAATTCTCAAGCTGATCTGGACCTAAGGGATACAGCCGTGGGGCACGGAAAGTGCAGCGGTGCCAGAACAAATGCCTGCGAATTGTTTCTAACACACACCCATACCACGTGAATGGCACTTTCCACATGAAACTGGGCAACCCACCAGTACTAGTTGAGATCAAAAGGCTCAGAGCAAAGTACGCAAGCAGTCTGGAAAACCACACACACCACTTGGCAACAAACTGGACAACAGTCGAACCACTAGACGCCTAAGAAGAACACACTCGACCTCACCACTGGCTGAACAATAAAGATACCAACTCGACCTCTCCACTGGCAGAACAAAGAAGACACTCAATCGACTTCCCCGCTGGCTGAACAAGACACACAACTCGTCCTCAAGTGAATGTTTCCCCCCAAACTACCAATGTATCCTAAGGGATCCCAAACTTAAGGTTAACGTTCCCACACAACATTTAATTATTGTCCACCTAGGAAAGTTTTTAAAAAAAAGCTATTCATGTAAAAAAAAAAAATATATGAACTACTCCACTTTTCGCATCAGCAACCCTCTTAAATAGATCACATTACAATTTTATTGAATAAAAAACTCGTAAAAATTAAAATAAAGAACAAGAGAGAATGCTATAGTCGATTTCCCCGTCTATCAGATACCTGTTATTCAGCTAGTGGAAGTGCAAACGAGAAATTTCAACATTTTCTGGAATATATAATATTTTGTGCGGCCTGTAGGTGTTGGAGTGGGCGTGGCAAAAAGTTTTTAGACAAATCTATAGATATACATATAAAAGATATACACTTTTTTCAGACGTGTGGGCGTGACAGTTTAGGGCGGTTTGTGGGCGTGGCAACATTTTGAATCAGACTTGCGCTGCGTCTGTCTCTGGAAGCTCCATGCTTAATCTCAACATTCTAGCTTTTGTAGTACCTGAGATCGAGGCGTTCATATGGACAGACGGACGGACATGGCTAGATCGACTCGGCAATTAATCCTGATCAAGAATACATATACTTTATATGGTCGGAAACGTTTCCTTCTGCCTGTTACATACCTTTCAACGACTCTATTATAGCCTTCTTCTCTACAAGTAACGGGTATAATAATACGAGTTTTGAAATTTTTTCGTCGCACTCCCACTTACTGAGTAACGGGTATCTGATAATAGAGGAACTCGACTTTAGTTTTCTTCCTTATTTTTATAATCATTAGATAGATTCCGATTTAGTTTAGAATAATTGTTGCTGTATATATGATGTATCTGCTGCTTCAACAGTATTTTTCCACATTTTTACCTACCTCAGCTGCGGTAATTAAGCATAATTATCTCAATTTTTAGGATTGAAACATATTTATTTATCTTCTTATCTTACAAATAACTATAATTTAAATATTTTCTTTTAGAACAACTGGATCGTATTGAAGAAGGAATGGATCAAATTAATGCAGATATGAGAGAAGCAGAAAAAAATTTAAGTGGAATGGAAAAATGTTGCGGCATTTGTGTTCTCCCGTGCAATAAGTTTGTATATTATTATTCCTATTTATATTTATATATATTTATATATGCAATATAATATAAGGTTGTCAAATATCTCCGCCTTTTTGTCTTTTGAATTTCGCGGCTATGTACAAAGCGCTACAGAGCTCGTATCTGGCAATACTATACATAATTTGAAAGGTCTTCACATAACCTACAAAACGACGCTGTGCATGATTTGGATATTGCGTTCAACAGTTACAGACGTGTAAACATGTAGTTCACTAACGCCGAAATTCGCGCTATTTTAAAGTTTTCCTTCGTTAAAGGCAAATCCGCTAGAGAAACGTTCCGTGAGATTAATGGTGTTTGGGGGATGGTACTCTATCACTTCGAACCGCGGAGGAATGGTTTCGACGATTCAGAGCCAGTGAAAACGACACCATGGATAAGCCAGGAGACCTGTGACGACAAATACCGATCAAATCATGGAATACATCGAGTTAGACCGGCATGTGGCATCTCGTGACATCGCCCAGGAGATGGGAGTTAGTCACCAAACCATTTTAAACCATTTAAAAAAACCTTCTGGACCGAATCAACGCCTGCGATATGCTGCTGAAGCGGAACGAACTCGACCCATTCTTGAAGCGGATGGTGACTGGCGACGAAAAATGGATCACATACGACAATATCAAGCGAAAACGGTCGTGGTCGAAGGCCGGTGAATCGTCCCAAACAGTGGCCAAGCCGGGATTGACGGCCAGGAAGGTTTTGCTGTGTGTTTGGTGGGATTGGAAGGGAATCATCCACTATAAGCTGCTCCCATATGGCCAGACGCTTAATTCTACCATCTACTGCGAACAACTGGACCGCTTGAAGCAGGCGATCGACCAGAAGCGTCCAGAATTGGCCAACAGGAAGGGTGTAGTGTTCCACCAGGACAACGCCAGACCACACACTTCGTTGATGACTCGTCAGAAGCTACGGGAGCTCGGATGGGAGGTTATATCGCATCCACCATATAGCCCGGACATAGCGCCAAGTGATTACCACCTGTTCCTGTCCATGGCGAATGCCCTTGGTGGTGTAAAGTTGAACTCAAAAGAGGCTTGTGAAAAGTGGCTGTCCGAGTTCTTCGTAAATAAGGAGGGGGGCTTCTACGAGGGAGGTATTATGAAGTTGCCGTCTAGATGGAAACAGATTATCGAACAAAACGGCGCATATTTGAACTAAATCCGATCACTGTAACACTTTTTATAAAGCATTGAATAAAGAGCAAAAAAAACGGAAGGGAGATATTTGACAACCTACTATATACACATATTTCAATTTCTGTTTCTTCAATGATTCAATTCAATTCAATATATGTTTCTTGTTTAAATGCATCTAATTAGTATTTAATTCGCTATATGCAATATAGAAATTGAAAGTTTGAGCTAGCATAAAAAACCTGCCATTAAGATTTATATAAAAAATTAAATACTTTCTAACATTTTGACAAGACAGATTTGGCCACTTAAAAAATACATGCGCTGCTTAGGCTCAGAAGAATCTGCCTGTTTTTATCCACAACATTGTTCATATGGATAGCACAATGGGCAAACAGACAGACAACCAGACAGACAGACGGGGATAAAAAGTTATACCCGTTACTCGTAGATTAGAGTAGATACTAGATTCGCTGAAAAGTTTGTAACAGGTAATCTAGATCAATAGCCAATTCGATATGGCCATGTCCGTCCCTCTATCCGTTTCCCCGGCCTTTTAAACGTCTCAGGAACTATAATAGTTAGAATATTGAGATTAGGCATGCAGCTGAATAACGGGAATTTGATAGTCGGGGGACTATACATTTTCGCATGTTTAAGAGTATATAATTTTAATGATAAGTGAGGGAAAATATCTCAATTCAAACTTCTCGTGGCCTAACAAACTTAAATTTTTCCCACTTATTTCCTGTCTGCCACTAATACGTTCGTTTGAGTTGGCAGCAATATTATAACAGATATTAGCTAACATTCAAAAGATGCGCAATTTTAAAATTAAAAAAAAATTATACTAATTTGGTTTTAATCCAACGTATCGGCTCCCATGAAAGTATACAATTGACTTTCAAGAGACAGGTAATAAGGCAAGACTCCGTATAGGGCGGCAGATAATTCCCTTGGCAGTGCTTACGTGGGCTACATGATGGTGTTGCCCGATCCTGCCTATGACTATTACTATACGACCAAGAAGCCACCGTTGTAGGGGGATGATTATCTTCATGAGCAATGGCTATGTTGTCGACAGCTAGATTTGGTGCAAACTTCGTCCAGGTTGTGCGAACTTGACTATCTGGGTTGCGACCTTCCCGCATACCCATTTGGCTGCTTTGCCCGTTCGGTCTGAAACCCACTTGTCACAGGGGCCAACCTTGTATTGTTCGCAGAGGAGCGCCACCTCTGGCTTTAAAGCGCGCATGGTCTGCGTCAGCAGATGATTCAAGTTGAATGAAGTGGAAGTTAATGAACTCAGTGCGTCAAAAATATGAATTGAATTAGTAGTTTTTTCCTTAAATAGAAACTGCTTCAAAGCTTCTAGCTTGTTGTTAGCTCCTGCGAAGTTTGTAGCGTTGTCACAAAATATGATCGAGGAAACTTGATGAAATAATCCGTCATGAGATCTGAGAAGCAAACGAAGCCTTGGTAGGAGACTTATCCGGGATGTGCAAGTAGACGTTGATTGGTCCGCAAAAGTCTATTCCGCATATTGAAAACAGCCGATACAGCTTGATACGATTTTTGGGCAGTTGCCCCATTAGCTCTTTTCGAGAGTTGGTTGATAGCGACGACAATGTATTCATGAGCAAACGACTTGTCGCGCTAAGTCCTTTGCGTTCACATCACGACCGATTGCATCTCTTGAGCGGAGTGATTGGTTTGAATATTCTGGACGACGCGATGTAGCACCTACTGTGATTCTGCTGTCGGTGACGAAGATGATTAGAATGGTGTAAACTTACGGCAGCACTGAATAAACCTGTACCAGTAGGCAGCGATGATACGAACTAATTTTGTAGATTCCTTCAAGTAGTTGATTACTGGTCGTTTGTACAGCAAAGGCTGATTTTCTTTTCTCAAGCTGCACAGTTTCCATGTCGATTTCAATGTTGTCTCGGCAGTTCTTTGGCCAATGTTGCTGATCTTAGCTCAAAAACTTCGGTGCCTCGAACCATGTAGCTTGTTTTAATTCGGCAATGCGCCCCTGGACAGGATATCAGACGGGTTACAGTGGGTTATTCAGATCCCTCCTAACTTGTTTTACGTGGCGAGTTCCACATTGAAGGGATTACAACAACGACATCCTATAAACCCACACGCACTCACCCTTGCTGAGTGAGATCTACCTAAAATCTCTACTGATCTATGGATCACAGCACCCGAGTTTTGCGCATCCAGCCGCGATATGGGTATCAACCACAGCCACCACGATACTCCCATAAGTCTATCAGGAAGTTTTATCTCAATGCAGTTTTTATTTAAAGCAGTGGTAGCAGTAGTAATCTCTCTGAGTGATCTAGGTCTAAGTCTAACTTATTTATTACTACTACTGCTCATATTTTTTTAATTCTCTCTCGGGCTGGGCCCATCATGGTCCTTATAATTGATCCATAAATTATATGTATTTGTCGGCGTTTTTGCGTGGTGTATTATTGTAATAAGTATTCCACTTCAGATATGTGTTTCAAGTCCTTTTATACAAGTCCTTTTGCATTTCCATCATAATCCTGTTATAATCTCTTTAATATGGGACAGGTGCTTTCTGCTTTTTGTTTTCAACGAATTGAATATTTTATTGACCGAATCGGAGTTTTAGGTTTAAATGCTTTGTGAACTGCGCAAAGTTTTTTTTACGTTTTTAATTGAATTGATTATTTTATTGACCGACTTGGGTTTTTGTATTTAAGTGCATTTCGAACTACTCGTAGTTCTTTTGAAAATATTTAAAATTAGTTTCACTGTTTTCGAATACCGAAACTCTCGAAGCGTTTTCGTCTACATATTCAATAATCTTCAATGGATCTGTTATGTACTTTATGAGTAAACTAACCAAAGTTTTAATATTACGTTTTGTGACGAAAAATTATTTTATGTTCGACTGGATTATCTAAACTGTTTTATCGATGTTTTATGATAATATTTACCACAGTGTAGTTGACTTCAGGACAAAATATTTCAGGAAAAAATAATAAAATAAAAAAAAAAAATTTTAAATGTTTAAAAGGGCGTGACAATTTTTCGCGGCTTATGGGCGTTAGAAAAGGCGTGGCAAAAAGTTTATAGGCAAATCTATGTCCCTGGATGCGTAATCTCAACATTCTAGCTTTTGTAGTCCCTGAGATTGGGCGGACGGACTGAGGAACCAGAAGCGTTGGCAAACAGTATTCGGCAGGAAACCACACATAAGTTCATCCAAAGCACCGAAGTTCAGTGGACAGACCACGAGTACATGGCACTCGGCGGCGAATTGCGGTAAGAAGGAGGCTAAAAGCCGACCAACTGGATGCCTTTAGGGCCTTTAGGGCATCTATAAAGAAACGCTTTAGCAAACACATGAGGCGGTCGTATCTTCGACAGAACGAACAGTTCTTCACACTCATCGATCCTTTGGCCCAGGCATAGACAAGAGCAATGTGCGGCAAAAAAAAATTTGGTCAAATCAGGGGGTATTATATGCCTAGAGATAGGCGAATAATTGACCGTTCGGTAGTGTTGATTAAGCCTATCGATCAGTGCCAAAAATATCTGGAGGACAAGTTCAAATTGGATAAATGATTGGCGCTGAAAGGAGAAGCTCTGAGCGCAAAGAGAAATATCACAAGGATCCTAGGAATAATAGGGGGTGTAACGAACAACGATGAGCTGATGGTCTTCCCTGCTGATATACCCGCACGCATTTTAGTCCGGCTCTATCTCGTCAGCGAGTGTCGTGGTGTTATTAAGAGGTTGCAGCAATTGGGTGTTCAGTCATATCTGTACGATTTAAAACTATATGCGTGCGAACGAGCCTAATCAGTCGTCACTAGTGGTAGTTATGCAAAAAAATAGAAGGATTAATAGAGAGTTTCTCTCAGTGAACACCCCAGGATGTTATTGGGGGTGTTATTTGCCCACCCTGCCAATTTTCTTGGGTCAGCATGGAGTTCAAAATGGATTATAATTCACTAAAAGTAGTAATAATTCTAAATAAAACTTCAATAATATTCGCATGTTTAAATTCTATGTCTATCTTTCGTAACCATTTTAATTCTTATAATAATTGAGCACTGATGCGATTCTTAATTACATAGTCCAGTAAGAGTTCATTTCATTTTATTTACATCTTACACAGTAACCGCGAAAATCTTTGGTAATTCAAAAATAGGATTTTCTTAGCTTCATTGCATATATATTTTAAGTTTTTATAGTTCCAAAGATCGCGACGATTAGACAGACGGCCTGTCAGTCGGACATTGCTAGATCTGGCGAGGACATGAATATATATATTATATATATACATGTATATATATAGGTTTCGATACGCTACCTTCAACCTGATATATAGTTTTGCTGGTAAACCCTTTTTTTACGAGTGATGGGTATAAAAATATTAAAATTTTTAAGTCGGAATCTAGTTATTAGGTTTATACCCATCGATGTCCCAAAACAAGTTTAGCTGATCTGACTTGAATATGTTTGTTTTCCTTTTAAAAACATATCTACATACCAATATTTTTTTTTTAACCGCTGTTATTCTGATTTTATGTGTTTCGTTGGAAAGTGCGCACGGTTCTATGACTAGTATAAGAATATCTTCATTGATTCTATGACGGCTACCTATTTTGCCGTTTATGTTTCAATTTCTTTACAAAGGTTAAATAATATGCTTCAAAATAACAAAAAAAAAGTTTGCCCATTGATAAGAATTATTTTTCTTTTTACTAAGAAAATTTATTATCTAAATAAATATTTTAACAAAAAAAATCTGATACTTGCAGAAGCCAATCATTCAAAGAAGATGATGGAACCTGGAAAGGCAATGATGATGGGAAAGTTGTAAATAATCAACCACAAAGAGTGATGGATGACAGAAATGGCATGATGGCGCAAGCGGGTTATATCGGCAGGTAAGTGTACTAATCTAAAAAGGGATATATGAACAAGTAATAAAATAAAAAATAAAGCAAACGTCTACATTTGTTAAGTTGATATTTCAAATTTTATTTTTAAATATATACTCTGTTCTTTACCATAGAGGGAAAATAGAGTTAATTATTTTTACTACCTTTAGCTGCAATATTAACTAAGCAATGCTTAAAGGAGCTGACCTTTCTCTAAGTCTTTTACCATAGGGGGGAAACTGCAGAGTTTGGTCGCAGTTAAATTTCTTCGATGGCTCCATTGACCAAAATGTAAAGAGGCTGCAAATAAAGCACATGTGTACATTTTATTTCTGATCTTACCTAGCTTAGGTGGCTTACAAGGAATTAACATATTCCAATCTTATCTCTAACTAGACAAACGCTATTTGTTCTTCAGACATGGGAATAGACCTTAAGTGTGGGTATTTTCCACTGCACGACATTCCATATCCTCAAGGAAATGCTATACGACCTAGTCGTATTCTAGTGTCTTTAATTGAACCCACACAGGAGTTCGTGGTATCATTCCAGATATCTATATCTAATGCTCAAGCGTTGTTTGCTTTAAATATACGCAGACAAATGTTTGACAATACATTGCTGCAGCGGTTCAATCGTGTTAAATACTATTCTATATATCTGTGTTCATGTGTGAACATTCTGCCAAAGGGCCAGCCAGGCTATGCGCATATTTTAATTTTACATTTCAAAAATAATTAGTCTAAATTTAACTTATTTTAACTTTTCGCTTTTAACATCTTTAGGTACATTTTTTCATTTTGTTAATATATCTTGTAAATTCCTATAGATTTGCCAAAACAATTTTTAACACGCCCACTCCTACGCCCACCAACCGCCCAAATCTTTCACACCCATACTATTGTAAAATGTTGTAATATAATATTTTGTCAGTTTTGAATATATGATGTAAATTTCAAAAGCTGTTTGCCACGCCCACAAACCGCACAAATTTGTCACGTACACACTTTTGTAAGATGTGATATTTTTTCATCTTTGAATACATCTTTGTACATTTTTATAGATTTGCCAAAATCTTTTTGACACTCCCACTCTAACGCCCACAAGCCGCGCAAACTGTCACGCCCACAATTTAAAAAAAATGTCTGGCATTGATTTTAAGTAGATTCCGTCATTATATGATAGGAATCTTTTTAAAATTAAGTGGTATGCACAATTATCATCTGATCTTCATTATGTATTGACACCGGAATGACTCTAAACAATTTAGATGGATACCTACTAAACAGAGGCACCTTTGCACTAATGATTAATTTGTCGTCGATAAATAAACCCCTGGCTGTTGACAGCGAACACACCTCCTTAAGTTCCGTATCTGGCCGCTTTCCTGGGATTACTAAATTGCTGAATTTTTGCAATTTCCTTCTTAAGCTGATTTGGCCTAAGAATATTTGTATTTAGCCTACCGTGATTAATAACAATCAAAATTGCTTAAATTTAGTTGCCTTCTCATCTGCTGCTGTCTGCTCCTCGTCACCAGCTGTGTATTTAAACTTCACATCTTATTCTTTGTTCTTTTGTCCTGGCAATCACGGTTAGGCACGAACTGCTTTTCTCAGTTCTGCTCGCTACGAATTGCAATGGCTAGCTGAGAGAGTTTGTTTGCTCGTCCCCCCAAATATTATGATTTGTTTGATTGCCCGACCAAAGAGAAGGCAGAGTATCAGATTAGAACAGCTTTATTTCAGACTACTTCAACAATGGACTCCTACAGTCCAGTGCGCCGTCGGACGCACGGCGTCGCTCCTTAGTCGTCCTTCCTTCGTTCTTGACAGCTTACCCGTGCCGTCTCGAATGGGCTTAGGATGTTATGGCGGTGGAGGTGTATCGTCCGTTACGTAAAGCCTACGCTCGTCCCAGGGCCACCTTTGCCGACCAATGACTCCACTGTCACTGACCGTGACAGGTTCTTCACTTGCTCACTTCACGTTCTCACTGACCGATAAATCATCGACGGGTGATTTCTCTCAATCACGGATCTTTTGTCGACCCCGTAATTTCACGGTCTCTCCGCTTTGCCAGGGTCCAAGGTTCATTATTTCCCATTCTACCAGGCCGGCCTTGACTCCTCTCGCATTCCATCTGTCTTAGCTGTTGTTAGGCCACTCCCTTGCACCCGGATTCGTGGGGAGACTCCTCACAAAGTCTTATAAATTTCTATCAATTCCCAAAAAAAAAATGTTACGCGACCACTTTAACAAACCGCCCGAAACCTTCACGGTCTTATCTTTCAGAAATGTTTAGATTTGTTTTTCGTTTTGCCCATAAATTATAACTCGCAGGCCCTCACTTCTGAAAATTTTAAATGTTTGTCATTTGTTTAGAGTTATTACCAATTTTTATTTTGTCGAGTTCTTTTAAAACACTTGCGCTGCATGTACTTCTCTAGAATCTGTATACTTAATCTCAACCTTCTAGCTCCCGAGATATCAACGTTCATACGGACGGACAGACACGTAAAAAGACGGTCGGACGAACATACAGACAGACAAACGATCATGGCCAGATAGACGTGGTGATCATGATCAAGAGTAAATATACTTTACGGGTAGGTTCTTCCTACCTATTACATACTTTTCAAAGAATCAAGTGTACGCTTTTACTTTACGAGAAACGCGTGTAACGTAATAATGTCTTTTTGCGGCAACCCACCTATGCGGTAATAAGCCGAAATAGTGGAACAATTTTGAAAGGCTTACTGGACATGTCCGAGCTGATGTCACATTAACAATAACATTAAATCTTTCCTGAAATTATTTCACCTAAAGTTCCAAGCACTCCTGGCTGAGGAGGGCAAATACCGTGAGTCACTTTCCGTTTTTGCAATGCTTCGTGGGGATTTAAAATATAGCGCTTTTTTGTTTTCTGATGATGCATCTGGTAAATTCTGTGATAGCCACTAATTTTAGGTAAACAAGAAACAAAATTTTTTTTATGAACTTGAGTACCAGCTTTTTTTAGTCATGTTTTAACTTTCACGTATTTTGTAAGACTCGACTACAAGGACCAAAAATATTTAGTATAGGAACTTCAAGGTATTAGTTGTGATATATTATTAAGTGATTGCCAGATGTGTGACTGTAGTGCGATACACACTTCGCCCTCACTTACTCAAGAGCTTACAATTTTGTTGAAAAAAACATAATTAAAGCATTACATAATTTAAAACTACAATTATAAACCTGTTGCTAGATCATGATTTAATATCCACATTAAAAATGCAGAACATGATATTGTGACATGATTGTAACTTGTTGGTATCCTGCTCAACCGATTAAAGATCTATGAAGCTTTATATGTTTGCCTATCGATAACAAGCTTTATATCATTTAAAGCGATTCATTGAAAAGCGATTTTTAAGGCCAAAAAGGTATTTTGTGAAGCCTACGAAGGTAAACAGTCTTCGTTTGTTACGTTTTGTTATACGTATGCCGTTCATTTCCTGTTTTCATTTTTCGAATAATGTAATACCGACTATCTTTAATAATATTGTCATATGTTTCTTCAAGTTGTGTTATGTTATTTGTGAGACACAGACAGCATAAAGGGAATAGGATTTTTTATTACTCCTGATTAAAATAATTATAATGGGGGCTTGTCTATATTTTGTGTAAATTTCATAGTTTGGTCGGTTTATTTAGAAATCATAGGTGGGTGTGCCTGCTTATCGTAAGCTGCGTAAGCGTAGAATGTAAGCTGGTATATGTCTGGTTGTATTATTTTTAGTTATATGGTTGTTTGTGTATATGATTGTTTTTATTCTTGTTTCAATATTATTTTCAGTATTGATGATTCGAATCTTTTCATTTATTGTTTTGTGAAGGCGTTTTGCTCGTGGTGATATCAATTTGTATTACTTCATTAGCGGACCCTGCAGACGTTGTCCCTCCCAAAATTTGTATTTAAACATGGCTTTTTAATGAAATACAGAATGATATACAAAATTTTTCGTCCTTCCAATCTTAACGGTTCACTTTGACAGTTGTTGTTCTTCCGTTGTCTTCTGGTGAACGTCATCGATACGACGTATATCCATAACTTCTAGTAACAGTTTCTGTTACTAAATCTCGTGGATATCGCTTTAAACATTTGCCGGTGACTATACATGGAGAATTTGGATTGGTGTTGCCACATGGACCGTGTATCATGTTGCCCACAACGACATCGTACAATTCATCGTACAGCCTCTGGATCACGCATCTCAGCACTAATGACGTTTTCAATTTCATTTGGTCGAATCTTCCAAACAAATCAAGATATGTGCGTGCGGAAGACCTCGTTTGTGTCATTCCAATGAATACATATGACACGGAGTTTCGCCAAAGACATTGTATTTTGTGATGAAAACTCGGACATTAATGTCAGGCGATCAACCATCAAAAAGTTGTTTCTTAATCTCAGTCCATTTGGGATTGCAGGTGAATGTGATGAACAAATCAGGTCGTTCATATTTGCGATATGATATCATTATCATTGCGATATCATCCACGATACACCATAAAGCTGTGGATGGATCAACAAGTCTATAAAAATAATCTCTGATGTTATGATCCTCTATGCGGATGATAAATTACCGTTGCAGTGGCGTTTTATTGAGAATTTTCGGGTTGATGTTGAGAAGGAGATTGGACTTGTGACACCCAGCAATTTAAATGAACTATAGAGCACAATAATAAATGCTTGGTCTACCATACCGCAGAAGAGATTCGCAGCTTTGGTGGAGAGTTTGCCACATAGACATCATGAAGTATACAAGTATAAAAGATATCCAACATAATATTAAAATAAAAAAAAAAATTATTACTGTATAAAAATATACTGTTTTGTCAAGTGTGCTAAATTCGTGTCCAGCCAAATTTGGGGGGTGTCTGGATAAAAACGAATGGCAATGAAAGAAGACAAAAGCTAGAGAGGCGAAAATAACGGTACTTCTTCTCTACTTAGTA